TGCGTCGTCGTTGGAAATCTGTGCGCGAAATAGTTTTTTTTTTCTTTTTGGAAAACTGTGGCTTAAACTCTCATTTTATTGTCCACTGTTCCTCCCTCTCCCCTCCCCTCTGTCCACCCTTTTTTTCCTCCTGAAAGCGAGTAAGAGCAAAAATGAAATCGAAAAATTGAATAATGAGGCCGGAGCAAGATAATATAAACATTGGCTGTGATTTTAACTGCATTCTTAATGCATCTCTTCAGCGGATGGTAGTTGGCTAGTTGGCATTTCTTCCTTCATTTTTGCAGCAGTGGATGGCGCCTTGGAGGCCAGGTCAGCATCCGATAAGTCAACGTGTCGTTCGTGCATGCCTAATCGCTTTGGTTCAAATCCGACCGGCAGACGAAGGCACTGACGACATTCTCCTTTGTGTTGCGACCAGATCTGAAATGTCTTTAGGCGATGAAAAGGCAAAGCTTATGTTCTGTCACAAATGAAAGATTTGGTTGCCAGCATAAAATCGTTTTTTTTAGCGCTTAGATAATAGTAGTAGTAATAATGTTATTATCATTATTATTACAAAATGATATTATCGTTACCATTATTATTACAAATATTATCATTATTATTACAATTATTATTGCAACGACAATAATAATTATTATTACAAAGATACATAAAACGAAACCTCAGTGCAACTATTATAAACCTGGTAAATTGCAAAGAGAAGAATTATCAGGGCTGGCAAGAATGTCGGCACCGAACTCAAATGTATCCAGTAGCCGCGATATCAGCGAACCCATACAATCAGAGCTTTTTTTTAATGAGATTTTGCTGTTATATTTGAATAGATTTTAATACTCCTCCCCCCTCCCCCCTCCCCCCCATCTCCCACCACCACATCTAGGCCGCTTAGAATGATTTGACAAACAGGTTAAACCTAGGTAGCGACGCACTAGATTTGCCAGTGCGATCATGCTTTTTTGCATTAAAATCGAAATGACCAGATTGTTAACAGTATAAATGGCTGTTACTTAACAGCTTAACATGTGCACTCCATGCTGTGTGGAGGATGGGAAGGGGGTGGGGGAGCGGGGGGAGAGGTTCTTTTTTTGTTGTTTTACATTTTTATTTCAACTTTGACATTTTCATTTAATTGCCTGCTTCCGAGTGAGGCTGAAACTTATAGGCTTGAGATTGTTCACTTTTCCAATGAGAGAAGTGCCTGGATGGACTTATGAAATATTTACACAACTAAAGGCCCCTCAAAAAGCTGGATTTGTCTCAAGCGCACGGAAATCAACAAGCACTGAATTTGGCCAGTGATGGAGCACGAGTTGGTTCCAACTACCTCAGTAAGCTTAGAATTTTTTTGAGCCAAATGGACTTAATCTTTTTGCGAAAAAATGAGAAATATAGAAAACACAAAACGGATTGAAGGTCAAGCTACCGGCCTCGATTTTTAGTCAGTCTACTTCAAATAGCCTAAATGGATTTTAAATAAAGAAAATGGACACGCCTTGAGAAAAAAATGTCAGGTTTGAAAAAACAAGAAAACAGGCCGAGGGTCAGGTTACCAGAACCGACTTTAACTCAAGCTATCTTAAAAAGCTTAAAATAACACAATTCCTAGAAAATAAGCGCTAAATTTAGCAAAAATAAGAAGTTGCATCCAGAGTCGATTTACCAAGACTAGACTTGGCTTCACTTTAGCGAGAGCTACTCAGAATGCTTAATGAAGTTTAAATGAGGGAATGAATATAATTTTTTGTGAAAAAGAATAAAGTGCTGGGTTTAACAAGAAGCTGCGTTGTTTTGATCGAAAAAGTGTCACAGATTTAGTTTTAATAAAAAGATGCGATCAAAACTGCTAGGACATAAACATGACTGTGGGTATACTTTCTTGCGTTGACTGTATAAAAAGAGTTCATTTAAAAAAAAAAA